CAGAGGTTTACAGCCCACATCGTGTCAGTAAAGCAGTTAAACTACTGGGGAAGTCTTGAACAAAGCACTTGAACTGATCTTTGGAATGGAGACGAGAGATATAACTGATAATATATAAGTAAAAGATACTTGAGGGCCTCTGGTCCCCAGTCTACACATGTGTGTTATACAAACGTTCCTATGTGTTGGTTCTACGTGCGTGTGTCGGTTCTACGTGCGTGTGTGTTGGTTGTACGTGCGTGTGTGTCGGTTCTACGTGCGTGTGTGTCGGTTCTACGTGCGTGTGTGTTGGTTGTACGTGCGTGTGTTATTCATGTGTATGCATTATGTATCGATTATACACTTGTATGCGTTGGTCACATTTGTCTCTCTGTGTTATGCATGTGTACATATACCTGTATATTGGTTATGTATGTATGTTTTGGTTATACGTAATGTGTATGCATGTGTTGTTATACACATGTTTTTCGTGTTGGTTATATATGTTTACATGTACGTGTTAGAGATGAAGGTATTTGCATGTGTATGTGCATGCCGGTTTACTTGTATACATTTGCAATACATGTACGTCTTTTGGTCTCTGTTAACATTGTATATCTGTTGCTTGCCTCCTGTTGCCGCCGCCGCCGCCATCTCGTCAATATTTCAGCTGTATCTTTCCTGTCGTCAATGTTTCTCAGCTGTAGCTTCACTGTTTCTCATATGTAGCTTCCCTGTCTTCACTTTCTCAGCTGCAGCTTCACTGTCTTCACTTTCTCACCTGTAGCTTTCCTATCTTCACTGTTTCTCAGCTGTAGCTTCCCTGTCTTCTATGTTTCCCATCTGTTTCTCCCGTGTTGCATACTTTGTGTTCCTAGGCCAGGATCTTCGTTAAAAATTCACAAAAGAAAATCCGTTATGTGCCACAGATAGGCGTTTAAGCTCTCTCCTCTCTCTCTCTCTCTCTCTCTCTCTTCTCTCTCTCTCTCTCTCTCTCTTCTCTCTCTCTCTCTCTCTCTCTTCTTCATATATGTTAGAAAGACTAGGAAAGATTCTCAGCGTCATTAGCAAGGAGATACAGGAAACTACAGCTGTAAATAACAAAGAAAAAACGTGCCACAAGGATACTACAAATCCTTTTTCATTATTAAAACAGTGGCATGGGAGACACGAGCATGTATTCTTTTTTTTATTTACGTTTAGGCAGGTTTGGAAAACTTGATTTATTTATCCATGAAAATGTATTTGGCCAGGAGAAAGTGTTCCCATAAATCGAAAAATTAAAAAACCCGGCAAAAAATGTGTCCATTTTATTTTCAATTACAAAAACTCATTTCATTCAGGCAGTCGAATGGGTTTTTAATTTGACAGTTAAACCGGAGAATAGAATTAAATAAGAGAAAGGCCGGACTAGAACAAGGGAGAGGCAAACAATGGCAGCACCAACGTTAAAATATAAATCAGTGTTTGGCAACTGTGCGTGTGACGTCACGGGATTCAGGGTTTTTGTTTGGGCAATCAGCTGATGTACAGGGCAGGCGAGCAGTGAGGGAACAATTTTCAGCAGATGTACAGGGCAGGCGAAGGCCAGTGAGGGAGCAAATCAGGTGATGTTCAGGGCAGTGTGAGCAAGTGAGGAGCAATCAGGTGATGTACAGGGGCAGTGTGAGCTTTCAGTGGAGGACAATCAGGTGAATGGACAGGGCGGTGAGCAGTGATGGAACAATCGGTGATGTACAGGGCAGGCCGAGCACGTGAGGGAAACAATCAGGTGATGTACAGGGCAAGAGTGAGCAGTGAGGGGGAACAATAGGTGATGTACAGGGCAGGTGAGGCATGATGGGAACGCCTGATTGTCACAGGGCAGTGGGAGCAGTGAAGGGAACAATCAGGTGATGTACAGGGGCAGCGTGAGCGTGTGGGAACAATCAGGTGATGTACAGGGCAGGTGAGCAGTGAGGAAACAGTCGTGATGTTTCTGGGGCAGGTGAGCGTGAGGGAAACAATCAGGTGATGTACAGGGCAGGGCGAGCCGTGAGGGAAAACAATCAGGTGATGTACAGGGCAGCGTGAGCTGTGAGGGAACATTCAGAGTGATGTACAGGGCAGGTGAGCAGTGAGGGAACAATCAGGTTGATGTACAGGGCATTGTGAGCAGTGAGGGAAACATCAGGTGATGTTACAGGGAAGGTGAGCACGTGGAGGGATCTGTCAGAATGATGTACTGGGCAGGTGAGCAGTGATGGGAACAATCAGGTGATGTCAGACAGAACATGAGGGGAAACAGTCAGGTGATGTACGGGAGGTGAGCACGTGAGGGAACAATCAGGTGATGTACAGGGCAGGTGAGCAGTGAGGGAACAATCAGGTGATGTACAGGGCAGGTGAGCAGTGAGGGAACAATCAGGTGATGTACAGGGCAGGTGAGCAGTGAGGGAACAATCAGCTGATGTACAGGGCAGGTGAGCAGTGAGGGAACAATCAGGTGATGTACAGGGCAGGCGAGCAGTGAGGGAACAATCAGGTGATGTACAGGCAGGGGTGAAGCAGGTGAGGGAACAGGTCAGCTGATGTAACAGGGCAGGTGAGCAGTGAGGGAACAATCAGGTGATGTACAGGACAGAACAATGAGGGAACAGTCAGCTGATGTACAGGGCAGGTGAGCAGTGAGGGAACAGTCAGCTGATGTACAGGGGGGCAGGTTGAGCAGTGAGGGAACAATCAGGTGATGTACAGGGCAGGTGAGCAGTGAGGGAACAATCAGGTGATGTACAGGACAGAACAATGAGGGAACAGTCAGCTGATGTACAGGGCAGGTGAGCAGTGAGGGAACAGTCACGCTGATGTACGGGCAGTGGAGCAGTGAGGGAACAATCAGGTGATGTACAGGGCAGGTGAGCAGTGAGGGAACAATCAGGTGATGTACAGGGCAGGTGAGCAGTGAGGGAACAATCAGGTGATGTACAGGACAGAACAATGAGGGAACAGTCAGGTGATGTGTAGGGCAGGATAGCAATAATGGGATCAACCAGCTGCTGACTCACGGGGCACTGTGTAGTGGCGTGGCTGGTCTGCAGTTGTCAAGTTATGTGCTTATGGGTTAGACTCCAACTCTTGGGACTCGATACTCTCCACTGCTGTATCTCTCCCGCTGTTTTGCCCGCTATTTATTTTTTTTCAGTACCGGTATATTTATACAGTTAAACACAAATTCAAATTTACACTTGTAGTTTTTGGTTGTGCTGTGTCAAAAATTCGATTTTTGTTTACCTTGTTTATGTCCAACCATGGTTGACTCCATGAGTCATGGCCTCCGTGGCCCTGGCTTCCTGGTTGATGACCTTATGATCTGATCGTGTCTCGTCTGTTTCTTAACTTACCTATCTTCTTTTGCTAACTCTTTAGCTGTGAGAATAACCTTGTGGTAAATCCCTTAAGAATTAATCATTGTTATTTAATTGCTTGACGTGGTGAGGGTTCCACAGTGGCGCTTCGTACCCGCTGCTTGTGTGTGCTTTGCAGTACATGGAGCTACTTCACAATCTGAAGGCTAGCATTATGTTTGTCAACTTTACGTATTTTATTGTCTTGTTTATTTGTACTCTGTTATTCTTGTAGTTGTGTGTTCCTTGTGTTGCTTGTTGTTGGTAGACTCAACCATTCAGGAAGGTATCGGCTGTCAGGTATCGTGATAGACAGCCGTCCTCTCAAATGAGTGTGACGTGGAAACCTGTTATTTTTTTTTTGCACTTTGGCAGGATTGCTGATTTTCTCTGTCTCGTGAACTCGTAATATAACAAGTAATTCTTATAAACTTTTACTTACATTTAGTATACACGTGACTTTACTCCTCTGTGATTCTTAATAGTTTCTAATTTCCTTTCCTATCTTAAGGTGGCTGGTGTGAGACTGGGCGTTGGGAAGCTGAGTGATAATGCCAGAACCACGAGCTGATAACCATCTTGCTATGTGAGTGAAACTGAAACCTGTTCATTGAAAACCTTGAAGAAAAATCAGGTAATCACATAAAGGAGTCCCCGTCTTTGATTCCTAATTATTTCATGGTCCAGCCTCATTCATTTAACTGATGTGCATTAATTTTGATCGTATTTACATTTGTTAATGATCCCGTGGGCCCGGTCTTTGATCAGACCTCATAAATATTACAAGAAAAAGAGAGTATTAAGAAGCATACAATCGGTTTTTTTTACTAAGCCGGTATGTATTCGTTATATAAACAAAAGTTTGTAATATTTAAGTGCTATCTTGCATGTTCACCAGAAGGAAAAGATCCGCAATCCTGCAAGAGTGCAAAACGTTTAACAGGAATCCGTTTGACAAATGCGCAAGACAGTAAGTGCCTCCCTGGGTGGTTGCTGAGCCTACTGCCCTGTTAGGAGTCGTTGCCAAGCTCGTTCTGCTTCTCGAAGACATTTTTATTGGTATTTATGTGACCTGGTTGGGTGTTCTGTCTACATCTGTGACCAATAAAAGTCACAGTGCTGTAGCTGGAGCAAGCAACAGCTAACCCACCTCTCATGAGATGAACCAGGTTCGAATTCTTGGCAGGCCAGTAGCCTCACCTCTAGTCCACTCAGCCTTAATAAAACTCGTCCGACTAGGAATATGTTTAACTCGTGCAAATCTAAGGCAAATAAATAAGAGAGCACCAACTCGTGGTAAACTTTTTGGTTCAATATCCATGATCTTCATCTATATACAAAACGTTTCCGTATCAAAAACTCCATCGTCATTCTAAAACAATTAGGGAACAATTACCAATCAGAATAACTGGTCTCCATCAAAACAAAACTGTTTAAGCAGACTCGTCAAATTTAAGCTGTTTTAAGGCAAACCTAATTTTACAATAACCTAAAAACAAGCACACACGCACACACACAAACACACACACAACACCACACACACACACACCACACACACACACACCACACACCACACCACCCACACACACAATTATGCCATATTTATTAAAGCTTATCTAATTTTTGTACTTGTTTCAGGGGCGGCAGCGGTGGTGTGATGGACTTTCATGTGTCCGTTCCTGGCCCCTTCACCTACCTGGTGCACGAGCACGCCCGCTCCATCTGGCCATACAGGTAGGTGCACCCTTAATGTACATCATCTGATCCATACAGGTAGTGCCCCATAAAGTACCACTTATCCTAACCATACAGGTTAGGTGGCCCATTAGGTACCATAAGAAATAAGAACATAAGAAAAGAGGAACACTGCAGCAGCCTGTTTGGCCCATACCTAGGCAGGTCCTTTACAATTCATCCCACTAACAAACATTTGACCAACCCCCCAATTTTCAATGCACCCAAGAAAACATGCTCCGATGTGCAAGCCCTCACAAAATTCCAACCCTCCCACTCATGTACTTATCAACCTAAAATTGGAAAAACCAAATTCCTAGCCTACAATAACCCAATAGGTAGATGTTCCATCATCAAAACTACCTTTTTCACAAACATAAATATTTACACTATGTCCTTTCCACACACTTCATAATCTAAACTTATCTAATTTAAATCATTACTGCGGGTTCTCTCTTGGAGAGATTTCCTCAGACCTTGTTAATTATCCCTTTTTTAATTACCTATCTTCCATTTATACACTTCGATCAGGTCTCCCCTATTCTTCGTCTAACAAGTGAATGTAAACTTAAGTGTCTTCAAATCTTTTCTTCATAAAGGAAGATGTTCTAATGCTATGTATTAATTTATTCATCCTCGCTGAATGTTTTCTAACGAATTTATGTCCATTCTGTAATATGGAGGACCAGAATTTGAGCTGCATAATCTAGGTGAGGCCTTACTAAATGATGTATAAAGCTGCAGTATGACCTCGGACTTCTGTTGTTACACTTTTGATATAAACCCCCAAATTTTTGCCTTTTTTACGTCGCTTAGGCATTGCTGTTTTGGTTTAAGGTTGCGTTCCAAAACCCCCCCAAGCCCTTTTTCGCAATCGTATGGCTAAGTTCTACATTATTTAACTTTAAGTGTAGGGGTTATGGACACTCCCCAGCTTTCAGAAACCCTTTATTTATCTACATTGAAGCATCGCCATTTTCTGACCCCAAAAAAAAAAGTTTGTCTAAAACTCCCGAAGTTCCCTAACATTCGTTTGAACAAATTTTCCAAAACCATCTTTTGTTTTTCATCAGCGAATTTGCCCTACCTGTAATTCCTTTATCAAAATCATTGATATAATTTAAAAAAAAAGGGGGGCCCAAGACTGACCCCGTGGAACGCCACTTGTAACTGATCCCCCCCTCGGATTTAACCCATTTATGGACACTCCTGCTTCCTGTTGGGGAGCCATGACTCGATCCCCGAGGCACCCCTTCCCCAAAGCGGGAACTTTTCAAAAAGCCTTATAAAATTAAGTAAAAAATTTTAAAATCTTTATCATGGTCAACAGCCTCAAAAAACTTTACTGAAGAAAATTAAAAAAGTAGACAAGACGGCCCTTTTTTTAATCCCTGCTGAGATTTTAATTAGCTTGCTTATCGAGATGGGGTTCTTTAATCTCGTTAATTTTCTCTATAATTTGCCCACAATTTAGGGCAGGGATTGGGCGGTATTTGCGGGGAACGACTTTCCCCTTTTTAAAATAGGAATTAATTCGCCCCCTTCCACAATCAGACATACCCTGTTTGAGAGAAAAAAAATATTAGTTTAAAGGTTCACAGATTCCATTTTGCATTCCTTAAGAACCCCTTTGAAAAAACCCCATCAGGACCCCGGGGACTTATTTTGTTCAGTGGGCTATTGCTTACAACCCTTTCACTAGTGCTAGATTTAAATAATTTTTCTTTTTCTGCCACTATAAAATTAAATTACCGGGCTATTATTAGTGTTTCCTGTGTAAAAAACCCAGAGAAAAATATTTTTAAAATCGAGCACATTTCATTCTTTTGTCGTAAGATTCCCATAGTTATTTTTAAGGGGACCTTTCTTATCTTGACTTTTGTTCTTTACCCGGGGAAAAAAAATTTTTGGGTTAGTTTTAGAAACCCAAACCTTTAATTTCATTCCCTTTTGCTTTTTTTTTCCCTTTTTAATTCCCCCTTTTCAAAAATGATTATAAGATGACCCGCCTCTTTTTATACGCCTATTTAAAATTTCCTTTTTTATGCCCTAGTAGTATTTCAGCCCATTTTCATCCTTTTGGGTCATTTTATTTGATCTAATTTCCTTATAAGGGATAAACGTTTTTGGCGCATGTATTTGTTCAGAAAAACTGCTATTGTGCTCTCTTCGTTACCCCCAAACAAAAAGATGATAAGTGTTCTCTAAACCCCTCGTAACTGTAAGCGAAAATCTGGGACTGTTATGGTTTTCCCCACTATCATACTTCCATTCAATTTTAAATGTAATTGATTTGTGGTCGCTAGCCCCCATTTCCCTCTGAAACTTTTTAAATTATTAACAAGGGATTCATTGTTTGCCAGAACTAATTTCAAGCAGGTTATTTCCCCTTGTAGGTTCTGTCACAACTGCTTCAAAAAACAATCCTGAACTACTTTCTAAGAAATCGTATGATTCTAAATTCCCAGTCAAAAAATTTCCCAATCAATATGACTAAAGTTAAAGTCTCTAGAATTATACATTATCGTCCCTTGTGGCCTAACAATTTCCTCCATAGTAGTCTCCTTGGTCCCTATCAAAATTTTGGGGGACGGTATATCACACCAAAAATTTAAATTTTTTTCATGCCCCTCTGAAAATTCTATCCAAACAGACTCTGTATGTGTTACTTCAGCTTAATCCCCGTTTTTATGCAAACAGTTCAAGCGATCTGGGACATACAATGCCACCCCCCCCCCCTTCCCGATACTTCTATCTACTTGGAACAATTTAAAACCCTAAATGTGACATTCTGCAGCATGTCCCGACTTTTTGAATTAAACCACGTCTCAGTAAAGGCAAATACATCTATGTTACCTGCACTAGCAATAGTTCACCTCGTCCATCTTATTCCTAGCACTGCGACTATTTGTGTAAAAAATTTTTAATGACCCTCCACTCTCTTTACCCTTCCTGCTCCTTTCTGTTATTCCCCTAAACTTATTACTGTTCCCTTGTCAATTTGTGCCACTGGCTTTCCAATATCCACCTCATTTTGCCTATTACTAGTTCTCTAGTACTCATGTTACTACCCTGCGACTTCATAGTTTTCCCCCCCAAAAACCCATACCACTAACTATTCCTAGTTTAAAGACCAACAGCTCCCTCCACTGCGTTGGCCAGTGCTCCCACCCCACCCCCTAGATAAGTGAACCCCATCCCTGGCCCCTACATGTCTTTTTTGCCATAGAAGAGGTCCCCGTTGTCAAAGAATGTTACCGCATATTCCTTACAGTACTTGTCCAGCCAGCAATTGACACCAATTGCTCTGGACAACCATTCATTTCCAAAACTCCTTCTTGGCAAATGCCACATTGAAGGTTTTCCCCACCCTTCCCTTATCTCTATTGGACCTATCCCGCTAATAAGGTCCTCACCCCTAGTCTCCCAAACTCGTTGCCCAGCACTGAGACAGATAATAGGATTGCCCCCTTTACTTCAGATGTCATCCAGAGGGCTAAAAATACCTTCACCCAGCCCGGAAAACACACTCTCTGCCTCCTATCTACCTTCAAAAGAACCCCCTTCCATGTACCTAATCTGGCTATCCCCAACAAAAAACAAGTTTTTACCCCCTTGGCGTCGTCCTGTGATGCTCCGAGTGTCGATACTTTCGACAGGTAGCATTACCCCATTTAGTTTCGAAAAAAAAGACGTTCTCGAGGTTTCGTTGGGGTTTTAGGGGTGTCTTTCCACGTTGCCCAAGCTTCTTTGGTGCGTTGTGGGTTCCGCAGAACACTCCTTGTCAGGTGCCCCAGAATGGTTGGCGTTTAAACTTCATCCTGGCCATACAGGTAGGTAGACCATTTAAATAAACTCCCCCCTGACCCTACAGGTAGGTGCACCATTTAAATAAATTCCCCTCCTGACCATAATGTAGGGCCCCATTAAGACACTTATCCTAACCAACGGAGGTCACCAAGGTAACTTCATCTGGCCATCGGAGGTAGACCCTTTAAATCACCCATCTGACGTACAGGTAGGTGCACCCAAAATCATTTTCCCTCCTGCCCTACATGTAGGTGACATTAAGACACTTCATCCTAAAATACAGGTAGGTGCCCATTAGGGACCTTCATCCCGGCTACAGGTAGGGCACATTTTGTACATCCATCCTGACCATACAGGTAGGTACACCACAGGTCAACCCCCTCCGCCTGACCATACAGGTAGGACACCCTCAGGGACAAACTTTATCTGACCATAGGGAGGACACCTCAGGGAAACCACTCCCCTCATGACCCCTACAGGTAGGTGCACCATCGGTACGCCCCCTCCGTATGCGAGATGGGAAATGCCAACAAGTATCTCCCCAAGTGCCAGTGTGGGGCCCGCGGGGGCCCCCAGCAGCAACAGCCTAGCTAACCAGGGAAGCACCAGACAAGCCTGGCCCAGGGTCGGGCTCTGGATGTAGAAAAACTCTGGAAAATTAAAATGGTATAAAATACCGACAGGTTGTTAGGTAAGACACATATGCAACAGTTAGGTATCTTTATTATGAAACGTTTCGCCTACACAGTAGGCTTCTTCAGTCAAGTACAGAAAAGTTGATAGAAGCAGAAGATACTTGAAGACGATGTAATCAGTCCATCCAACACAAGGGTATCTTGGTACAGACCTGCAATCAACTTCGACAACTTCCACTAGTGAGAGGGGCTGGATTTGAGAGGGACCTGACCTCTCAACATCTGAGTTCTTACCTCTCCTAGTGGCCTACGTCTCACCTCTTGGCGCTATAAAAAGCTCCATTCTGTCACTTCTTCTCCATATTGTTTCATACTATGGAACAATGCTCTTCTCCAGACTGAGGGACTGACCACCTCAAAACTTTAAGGGTGATGGACTGATTACATCGTCTTCAAGTATCTTCTGCTTCTATCAACTTTTCTGTACTTGACTGAAGAAGCCTACTGTGTAGGCGAAACGTTTCATAATAAAGATACCTAACTGTTGCATATGTGTCTTACCTAACACTCTGGAAAGTCATCAGAGGTACGATAAACGCAAAGTTAACATTAAGGTGGCTGATCATTAAGCTGTAGCCAATAGTGTTCTAGTTTCCTTTTGTTTTTATTCCGGCAGTTTTTTTGTTGTCTACTGTTGGTGGAAGCTTGAGGAGTCGTGCACCACCCTGTTGATATGTCGAAGTATCGTCTGTCATGAAATACAATACTTAGACGTATCGTGTATGTCATGAAATACGATACTTAGATGTATCGTGTATATCATGAAATACGATACTTGGACATATCGTTTGTCATGAAATACGATACTTAGACATATCGTGTATGTCATGATCATATCCGAGTCTTCTTCTTACCATTGAGGTCGGGTTAATTTCCTTCAGTTGTTTTTCTATGTGTTTGATCGGTCTCAGCTCTGGGAGTATCGTGTGTGTAAAACCTCTCAACTTTCTCAAGCTTCTGCACGTGCTTGACTAAGTGAGGTCTCCCACGCGTGTGCTGCATGCATACTCTCACTCCTCGGACATTCATGGTGTATAGTGTCAGCATGCTCTGGTCTGACATGGTGTATAATATCAGTATGCTCTGGTCTGACATGGTGTATAATATCAGTATGCTCTGGTCTGACATTCATGGTGTATAGCTAGGTAAAAGGACACAAGTGCAACTAATGTGACATTTTATTGTGGCAACGTTTCGCTCTTCAGGAGCTTTATCAAGCCGTTACAAACAACACATGGACACAGAGGGTATATATAGGCTGAGTGAGGTGTAATAATAGCGGTGGTAGTAGTAGTATTTGAAAAGCCCTGTTTCAGTTTTCCTCCTGAACACTGGAATTCCACCAATCACCTCATGAAATTCAACGACGCCCGACTGTACATTAGTGTCTTTTTCCACGTCTTGTTGATATCATCATTCCATTTTTTCCATTCTTATGTTCTGTCCTTGTGTCCACCCTTCGTATGTTAGTGTGTGGGGGCAGTTCTCTGGTGTATCATCCTTGAGTCCACCCTCATATTAAAAGCTTCTTCCTTTGTTCCAGCAATATTTCTGAATTATTGATTGTTCCAGCAATATTTCTGAATTATTGATTGTTCTGGCAATATTTCTGAACTATTGATTGTTCCAGCAATATTTCTGAATTATTGATTGTTCTGGCAATATTTCTGAACTATTGATTGTTCCAGCAATATTTCTGAATTATTGATTGTTCTGGCAATATTTCTGAACTATTGATTGTTCCAGCAATATTTCTGAATTATTGATTGTTCCGGCAATATTTCTGAATTATTGACTGTTCTGGCAATATTTCTGAATTATTGATTGTTCCAGCAATATTTCTGAATTGCTGATTATTCCAACAATATTTCTAAATTACTATTGTTCTGGTCATATTTCTGAATTACTGATTGTTCCAACAATATTTCTGAATTACTGATTGTTCTGGCAATATTTCTGAACTATTGATTGTTCCAGCAATATTTCTGAATTATTGATTGTTCCGGCAATATTTCTGAATTATTGACTGTTCTGGCAATATTTCTGAATTATTGATTGTTCCAGCAATATTTCTGAATTGCTGATTATTCCAACAATATTTCTAAATTACTATTGTTCTGGTCATATTTCTGAATTACTGATTGTTCCAACAATATTTCTGAATTACTGATTGTTCCAGCAATATTTCTGAATTACTGATTGTTCCAGCAATATTTCTGAATTACTGATTGTTCCAGCAATATTTCTGAATTACTGATTGTTCCAGCAATATTTCTGAATTACTGATTGTTCCAGCAATATTTCTGAATTACTGATTGTTCCAACAATATTTCTGAATTACCGATTGTTTCAGAAACATTTCTGAATTACTGATTGTTCCAGCAATATTTCTGAATTACTGATTGTTCCAGCAATATTTCTGAATTACTGATTGTTCCAGCAATATTTCTGAATTACCGATTGTTCCAACAATATTTCTGAATTACCGATTGTTCTGGCAATGTTTCTGAATTACCGATTGTTCCGGCGTTATTCCTGAATTACTGATTGTAGCAGGTTGAATGGCCATGGACTGTTATATTAGTTTAACTTCAGTCAGTAAATAGTGACATGTAGGAGTCTAGTCCATATGGCAAGTAAGGTCATTGAAGTTTAAAATCTGGAGTAGCTTCAAATTTAGGTTAGATAAATACATGAGCGAGAGGGGTTGGATTTGAGTGGAACTTGCACGCGAGTTAATAGTTTTTCAAAGCTTATTCCTTGGATAGCATTGAAAATGGGTTGGGCAAATATTTTTGTTAGTAGGTTTGGGTTTGAGAAGGACCTGCCTAATATGGGTCAATAGGTCTGGTGCAGTGTTCCTCCTGTCTTATGTTCTTAGGTTATTTAGGTATATCACCATTAGGAACTCCACTTGGTCACTGTTGACCATCTCAGTTTTGATCTTAGGGGGCTGTGATTCGTACGTTGAACTGCGTGCGGCCAGCGGTAATAGCCTAATTGATTAGGTTGTTACTGCTGGAGGCCTCAAGGAGGCCTCGTTTAGGACCGGCGTGTGGACATTGACCCTCGGAAACGTCCTTCAGGTATCCTTCCGGACCTCCACTTGTCACTGACCATCTCAGTATTGATCCTCGGGGACCTCCACTTGTCACTGACCATCTCAGTATTGATCCTCGGGGACCTCCATTTGTCACTGACCATCTCAGTATTGATCCTCGGGGACCTCCACTTGTCACTGACCATCTCAGTATTGATCCTCGGGGACCTCCACTTGTCACTGACCATCTCAGTATTGATCCTCGGGGACCTCCACTTGTCACAGTTGCCTGGCACTCAACATGTGTCTCAGATGTTCGTGATCTCATGAAGCACTTCCTGTCACCCTGTTTGTGCACTTCCTATTGTACCCTCAAGGGAGGTTCCTTGACGCTGGTGAGGGGCTCTTGATCTAGGGAATTGAATCTGTGCTCCGGTTCCCTAAAAGGCCTGAATTTCCTTCCCTTCCCCCCACGGGCGCTATATAATCCCACGGGTTTTGTGCTCTCCCCTGTTTTAATTTTCCTATGTTAAGAGTATTCGGGGGCCCGCGCACCACACACTGCCTTTTTTCTTTTGTAATTTGTAAAATAAAATTTAAATGGGTTCCCTAGTGTTGAGATCTCCCCCTGTTTTTTTTTTTTTTTTTTCTTTCACTTTTCCTTCTTTCAATTTTTTTTCATCTTTTTTCTCTCTTCTCTCCCCTCTCTCTTTCTCCCTCCCCTTTTTCTTTCCCCCTGTTTTTTTCTCCCCCCCTGTTTTCTTCCCCCCTCTTTTTCTCCCCTCTCTTTTCTCTTTCCCCCCTCTTTTTCTCCCCTCCTTTTTCTCCCTCTTTTTTTCTCTCTCCGTGTCCTTTGTGCGGTTTAAGGGTTTTTCTAGATACATGGTGTCCCCAGTGGGAGGAGTTGCGAACCTTTAGAACCACAGGGCCCCGTTTTTTAAAATCCCGTCAAGGTTGGGGGGTCAGTCGGGTTGTTTTTGCTCAGAAAAAGTGATTTGTTAGGGACCAATAAGGTACCTTTTTTTGATTTTTAATCACTTGTGAAACCCTTTTCAGGGGTGGGGCATTCTGAATTCAAAAAATTACGGAGGTCTGTTTTTGGGGATGTATTTGGGCAATAAAAAGTAGTAGTAGTGATTGTCGCAGTTTGAAATGATGGCAACCAAGAAGTAGAAACTGCCCTTTTTAACCCGCATCGTGCGTGGCAGCCCCCGAAAAAGGGTTTTTTAGAAAATAAAAATTTAGTGAGGTAGTTTTTGGGCCCCTGTCTTCCCTTCAGTTTCTTTTG